CCAAATTTTAAGTTTAGCCAGCAAAGCGAAATGCAAAGATGAAACAAACATCGGCTAAGGAGTTTAAAATATCTTTTATTTAGTTTCTTACAGGCAAATGGCTTCGCTCAAAGGGCGACGGCCGTTATTCGCCTTCCTAGGAGGAACCTGCAGATTATCTCTGAGCGAAAGCGAATGCCATACACTTTGTACCATAACAACTTGATGGATGAAATATATAATTTCAGAGACAAATATCGCAAAGAATATCGAGTGAAGAACACAAATATCAATGCTCAAAGAAGCAAAATAGCATCGTATAGTTATCCGGATACAAAACGTCTTGACTAAACCCTAAAAGCAAACTTAACCGAAGAAAAAACAACCTCGTGTTCAACACGAATATTTCACTTGACTCACTTCGCCATTGCAACACCTTTGCCACAACTTATCGTAAATTCGGGATACGGATTTACAAGCGTGTGAGAGGCAACCTTGACACAATCTTTGACTTAAATTGACTTTAAAGGATATAGTATGCAATGGAATTCTTAAAATGCCGATATGTCCTTTGAAAAGGGCCAGAGAAGCGAAATAAACCCGACGTAGTAGCCACTACGGCAAAAGATCCTGACTCACGTAGTCTGATTTCACGCTACGGCTGGATGCAACCGACGTACACGCGCAGGGTCTCATTCTGGGGAAAATTTACTTCCGGCAGCCGTATCAGCGCCAGCCGTAACGATTTGCTTAAAGTCCCTAATCTTGGGACACCGCATACACTTAAAATTTTTAATAATTTTCATCCACTTTAGTTTATCGGCACGGAAAAGCGTTTACCACCACTCTTTCTGTGAAGTTTCAAAGTTGTCTTGATAACCGGGGACTGGCCGTACGCGCCCATGAACTTTTTCGTTTGACCGCTTTCAAGGCGAACTCTGGGCTCGTAATTGTATGATTGACAGCGGTGTTGCTAGTAAACAAACATGGCGGCTGTGGAGGATGTGACTGCGAACCTTCCGTCGCTGCAATTTGAAGCGGCCTTAACTCGCGAGGAAAAGTATACTTTTGTCCATTTTATCACTAAATGATTTCGTAGAGACCTTGTTTGAATTTTCTTGGCTGTTTTATCGCAGACAAATGCTGTATTTACGCGGAAGAAGTCATGCTCTGACGGTCTCCGCTTGTGCACAAGCGTAAGTAAATTTTCGTAAATTTTAAGGAACCTCAACCATATTTCGGGAAAGTCTTTTCACACGTACCATGTTACTGTTAATGCGGAACTTTGGATAACGAATAATTTTAACGAGAGTAGGGAGCGATTATGTCGCAAAGGTGAAGTTGTATTCGCGCCTGGCGTGTGTGCAAAAGCGCCAAAAGCGCAAATTTGTCTCAAGACTTTTGTCCATGATTGTAGGTCAGTTGGTTGTCAAGTTAATAGACTGAAGATATGCTGTGGAGGGAGGAAGAAGAGAGAAGGGGGCAGGGGAGGTTAGGCATGTGTCCTTGATCTCTTAAAAATTTCTCTTTTCTCCCTTGTTCCCTAACAATAAATTCCATTGCTCCCTACATTTTCTGTCAAAGCCCCCTTTAATAGCAGAGGTACATTCCTTGTTCCCTCAAATTAATCCCAAAAAAGCAAATGACTAAGCCTAAGCCGTGTATTACACTGTGATAAAACACTCTGGACATTTGAGAACTCTCAAGAAATGTAGAAAACACTCACCTGCGGCTTGTGTTTTCTACATTTCCCTTGTGTTTTCAAATACCCTTCGTGTTTTATCACAGTGTAATACACGGCTTAGGCTTCTTTATTTGTTAAATATTAATATAATAATAATAACAATAATTTTTATAATAATAATAATAATGATGATGATGATATTTTAAGGGGAGGTGGTGGTGGTGGTGGGTTTTGGGAGGGTCTTCTAAAAATTAAAGGTCTGTTAAAATCATGATATTCTTTTTAACTTGTTCATTGCAGGGCTTTTCTGGTGGCTGTACTAAATGATGCTAGACAAAAAATTGTGGAGATAAAGTTTCCAGTGAAGAAAAGGGTAATTGCGATGTGCTGTAATATTTACTTTTGAAATGCAAAGCTATGTAGCAGTGTTCTTACCAGAATTTTTTGTTGAGGGTTCAGAAAGCCCTCCTGCATGATAATTTGGGCCTCTGCAGGAACTCTAAGGGGGTCAAAGTTAATCACGATCTTTGATTGTGTTGAAGTTTTGAAAACAAAGCAAAACAAATAACATGGGCCCACAATCCATATGGTAAGTTTTTGAATCCAAGATAGTAGAGATTAAACTCGTTGAAGGCCTTAAAATGATACTTTTGATGCATTGCTTTCATTTCATTACTCTTATTTCCAAGCAGAGAAAACTGAGAAGTATTTGATTGTTGATCAAAAAATTGCTCATTTATGTTGCGGTTCCTAGAGAGTTATTTTCAAACATTTGTAATAGACTAAAGCAAAAAAACTTTGTAACTAGCTCTGAGTGTACCTTAAGTCGCTCTGTAAGATAGTTCTTTTACTACATCAATTAAATTATTATATAAGTTAAACATTTTCTTTCAGTCATCTAAACTTTTACAAGAGGCCCCCAAGAGAGATCCATTGTTGGTGGGAATCATAGGTTGTGGCCGTCTGGGAAAGCAGCTTGCAAGCACTCTACTAAAATTCTGTGAGTTACATTATTTTGTAAATATATGACTGAGACAAAAGTCTAATGAGTTATTGATTATTAATTAATTTACATGTAATTAGTTCAGTATTAATAATTAATGTATTTCTAATGACTAGTTTGTTATTAATAATCAATTTATTAATTTTATTTAGTTAATATTATCAATTATTAATTATGCTCTGAAAGTGGTGTTTTCAATCTATCTTATGAGAAGGTCACTCCAGGAAGCATACTTTTTTTTGTCAACACTGTAA